ATCTCCTATCAGAGCATTTTAGTGTTTAGTTTTCTCCAAACGTTGATGCAAGGAATGGTAACGAATGAAAAAACCCATTTAATAAGAATAACACAATGAAGTGAAGCCAGGGGACAGGAGAGTAGAAGCTTCCTTAAAAACTGAAACAATCTTTGTCTGCTTCTGGATAAACAGTCACCCTGAATTTGTTGAAGTAAGTCACATTGCCATTAAAATACTGGTACCGATCCCATCTATTTAACTGTGTGAAGCAGAATTCTCGGTGTTGACATCTTTTAAGGAAAAACACCGCGAGCACCACTTCGTCCCATGAATAAATTATATTTTCTTCCCATTTTTACCTACCTGACATCACGGGGATTTCTGGCAACTTGAAACGTTTTCGGTCTGTATCAGGATTGGAGAACATTACGAACGATAATGTTTACATAAGAGCTAGTAGTTTCTAAGAGCTCATTCAGATTCATTTGCTGATATTGCATAATATTCTTTATATGTACTCCAAAGCCCATTTAATCCTTGGCGTAACAGCCCTCTGAGAGCCAAAGCCGACTAGCTTGACTGCTGGCCTCACGTTCACATGCCTAAGCAGAGGTGAACGATCATCCAACCAGGTATAGGATGACGTGTGGTCAGCACGACGAACCCCCAGCCATTGCTAGTTTTCATGACCGGATTACGCTACCACAATTTCCTCACGATGCTGGGTTGGCACCGGTCCCATACACTGGTCGAAAGCTCATGAGAAAATGTCTTCTCCCCCGAAGACTCGAACCAGCGCGCATTCAGTATCACCGGTCCGAGGCATGATCCCTCAGACCGCGCGGGACCCAAAGTCCATTTGGTTGAAAATAAAAGTATTTAAACGTGCAAATATTTAATTTAATTTTTTGATCATTCTTTGTTCCTTGGATGGTTGAATTTTGATCTTCGCCGCCTGATGGTATAAAATTACACAACTTTTCGAGAACTGTGTCTTCGGTTATTGTGACGGGAAAGGGAACGTACTCTGTGGAGTCTGTTAGAATCACTAATTCATTACACCATCGTCCGAACCTTTTAGAAACGACAATTTGTTCTTTTTCAATATGAGGAAGACAGAGTTGCCATCCTCGGAAATTCCCACTGATCATTTACCACTGCCTGTATCATGTCGTCTGGGAACCACTGTTCGAAGCTAGGAGGTTCTACCGTCTCGCTGTAACGCGAAGAAAATCCCGGGGATTCCCTTACAAATGTACCAGGCACATGACGGTGGGCCCAAGGCAACGAATGACGTAGCGTATTGAGTCTTCGGTGAAATACATGAAGCACGCCTGTAGGTCGGAAATGACGTTTCACAGAAGGAATGGTGCAAATGACCTTCCTTTTACAGTGGTCGTGAAGACGATGAAAGCTGTGGCGAACATTGAGTCTGGCCTCTTTCTTTGTCTGGATTTCCGTGAAATAATTTCCCTTTCGCTGCACATAAGACAAGAGGGAAGTATTTCTGACTCTTCAACATTCCAAGACCTGAGACCAAATTGTACATTTTGGATCTGCTCGCGGGCCGCCGGATTATGAAAGCGGATAATTTATTAAAATTTATCTTTGAAACAAACAACGTTGACCAAACTTCTGAGTTAGAGCCCCATTGACTATGGTTATCGTCTCGTGTTATGGTAACCACAGTCAATGGGGCTCTAACTCAGAAGTTTTCGGAATTTAGAAGTTTCTAAATCGTTTTGGTCTCAAGGAATAAGCATGCCGTGTTAGATGCAAATTGCTGTATCAATTTTCGACCTATAAGCGATATACGAGGTGCGATCGGAAAGTTTCAAGACTGTGTCAATAGTGGGCGAACCGGATGTAGTACGAGCTTCTGCCGCTAGGGGGTGCGGCCTACATTCATAGTGAATCAGTGTGCCAGCCGGCATCATCGAATTAGCATTTGTTTCTTAGTTACGGGCGTTTTGGTAGTGCATTACACCGACCCTCCTGCGATTTCAGGAATGGCGTGTGCATCAAATTTTGCCAAAGACTCGCCAAAACGGCTAAGGAAACCTATGAAATGCTAAAGCAAACATTTGGGGAGTCCGCAAACTTTTGTGTGGCATTCACCACCCTCCTTCTTCGCCGTGTGACTTCTTCCTCTTCCGAAAGATGAAAATTCAGCTAAAGGGAAGGAGCTTTGAGACGATAGAAGAGATTCAGGCAGAATCGCAGATGGTGCTTGACAGGCTGACAAAGAAAGATTTCCAGTGATGCTTCCAGGCTTGGCAGCGGCGCTGGGATCGTTGTGTTCACTCCCAGGGGAACTACTTCGAGGGTGATGGATGAATTTAATACCTGAGATAAGTGTACGGGTTTTTATAGGCGCAGTCTTGAAACTTTCCGATCGTACCTCGTATACCCATAATTTCAGTTGGATAGGAACGCAATTTTCACGCTGGGGAGACGGAATAGCTGTCAGTATAGTGACTGACTGTTTGATGCAACTCGGTTAACAGCTTATTTTTCCTGGAAACGGTCGATTGTTTGCACAAGAGAAACGGGAAATGTATCCCTAAGCTCATTCTGGCAAGTTATGCAAGAACAGGATGCCAGGTAGTGTTCGACAGTGAACACTCGTTGCACTTGCAAAAAAGACATCCTTGTACTCCGACTGTTGAAGAACAACTGACGGCCTGGTACAAGCAGGTTACAACATAACGTCATCTGTATGGTGTTTTTATAGTCGCAGTGATATTGTGTTTATTAATTCAGCTGAATTGTATTAAATTTCAATCATCAAACATTTTAATACGGATTGTGTGAAATTATATCACGTTGTTTCCTTGTTTTCATGGGAATTTATAATTTCATTTCTTTAAATACCGCACACATGCGGTATATTATGCACTGAAAATTTCTGTTTTCACATTTAAATGCAATTTGTAGCTGTAGATACTTGAATATTGATATAATGTCTTCGAAACGCCGGTAATACAGCCTACACGGTGTCAGCACCCTGCAAGACGATCGACACAAGCAGTGTACAGTTTATTGCAGATGAGGATATATAGGTTTACTTTTATGGATACTACTGAAGAATAAATATATTTAGAATATGGTTCTTAAGCATTGCAGCATCGCAGAAAACTGCTATCTCCATATACGTTGCCATGAGAAGATACCGGCACACCTTGTAGCACACGTTATTATAATAGCAGTTTTACCTAAGTGTTTTAGATAAGACGACAGAGCATAGCTTGTAGCAGTGGACAAATTTGCATAAAGATAGCTGTGCCAAAGAGAGAGGAAGGTCACCTCTCAGTTACTCTCTGAATTGTCCTTGGGCTTATTTTGTTTGTTAATTATAAATTTCACGGTGAAACAAGCCTTGAGTTTCCTTACAAACAAAAAAGTAGAGTAATCCATACACGCACGTCTTACTACTAAGTTACGTACTGAAGATAATTAACATTAGCATTTGATGTCTTCCCATAAATGCTGCATGCTAATCACATCCTCCTTGCTTTGATAATACTAATAAGATTTTTTGCTATAATTAGCAAATTTAAATCTCCTAATGATACAATTTACTCCTTCCCGTCTCTTCGGTCCAAATATTCTCAACTGTCCTGAAACACGTAAAATATTTGTGTTCTTCGTTAGCTCTACAAACCAATTTGCATTCTTACTCACTCAAGTACTCCATGGAGACGAATCCTTCCTGAGAAACCAACAGTCGCCCAGCCACTGAAGATATTCAGTTTTATGGAACCCGTAGGTTCATTACAATGTTCACGAGAGCCCGTTACTGGTCCTATCCTGAGCGAGATGAATCCAGTCCATACCACCCCATCCTTTTTCTCAAAGACAAATTTTAATATTATCTTCCCACTTTCGTCTATGTCTTCTTAGTGGTCTCTTTCTTTATGGTTTGCCCACCAAACTCTGTATACATTTCCGTTCTCTCCCATGCACTAACCATCTCATACTTAATCATACCTAATCAGTATAATTATATTTCGCGAGGAATACAACCTATGAAGCTCATCATTGTGCAATTGAATTGTCCCATATACCTGAACTTTGTCACGTTTTCAAAGCTGTATTTATGTAACGATTTTGTCCTGCATTTAGGTGACGAGACATTAATATACACTTAGTTTTCTGTTACCTAGGAAACGTCATCTGTTTACTCGGCATTGTTATTACCTATAAAACATTTCATTACATTACCTTACCTTTACCTTACATTACATTTCATTACATTCAGCTACCACAGACCCATCTTAAGCGTAACTAATTCAAGTTAAATAAGCAATGTCTTAATCAAACTTATCTCAAATGTAAAGCATGTATGAAGGAAATATTTAGAATAAAGTCAATATATAAACTTCCTTTCCGTATAGACGTATTTACGTCAAATTCTCCGGAACCGTGGTTCCACTGACAACTTTTTAAATTTCACGTACCCCCTAAGATGTCTTCGCGTACCCCAGGTTAAATACCACTGCTTTAGACCATTTTGAATAGGAAACGTGTCAGACAAATGGAAACCTATACGTTTAATCACATTTTAATAAACCTAAATAGTGTCATGGGTATACCAAACTCAATACTTTCCTTGTGACTGAATCATACGCTTTCTTCAAGTCTATGGATAGCTGATGTACTGTCTCATTGTACTCCCATTTTTCTCTAGTATCTGACGAATACGGAACTCTGATCAGTAGTTGACCTATTACGTCGAAATGATCCCCAATAATTTCGTCTACGTATGGACTTTCCTTTGAGAGAAGGATGTTGGAAAAAAAAATTATATAAATTTGATAACAGTGATATGCATTGATAATTACTACAATAATTTTTACTGCCTTTCTTTTAAATTGGTACAGTAATAGACTTCTATCACTGCTGAGGTAATTATTCCATGTGAGTAATCTCTTCAAGAAAGAGTCTGCGTTAGGAGTTTAGCCTATAGGTTAGTGGTTTAGCTAGTCGTCCATAATCGTCACGTACATCTGTTGCAGGGTGGCCATGACAGCAGTGAGTGGTGGAGCTGCAGCTAGATGCCTGCAAATAATACAACTGGCCACGGGAACAGTCTCTTCTGTGCTGCAGAATGCCATCGTCGTTATTAAGTCCACATATCAACTGGTGTGGTCACGTCCTGCCAAGTCCTTAGTAGGAGAAGTCGTCTTGGTGTGTACCGATCTCTAGTTATCTGACACTGAAGACTTGGTGACTAGGAAATGCATAGCCAGTTTAATAAGGTCATGCAGTCTGTAAACTTTTGCTTGTGGTGAATTTTACGGCGATGCTAGTAATGTCAAATGGAGTACAGTGGATTGTGGTTAACTGGGACACATCGGGAATAGAACACTTTGGTCCAATTAAGCGGCTGCCCCAATTAGGCGAAGTTCTACGTAAAGAGTTAAAAAGGGTTGTTCTTTGAGATTTGTCCAAAATAAATTACTGCCCCGATTAACCGATGGCCCAATTAACCAGAATCTACTGTATTTTGATGTTAGTATGAGATATTTTTCTGTTTCATCATCCAATATCGATAAATGTATTAATTTGTTGTATGATAGTGTTATTTATCACTATCTTGGATCTGATCGGATATTGTACTTTAAATACCATGGTTTCGGCCTTGTCTGCAGACAACTGTAAGTTATCCAGGGTGATTCTAAAAGGACTTTACTAATTTGAAAGTGTATATAAATTTATTCAGAAGGCTTACAGAATCGGTTGAGGTGTCATTTTGTGGCAAACCAAATCAATGTTAACCTCAAACGGTCATTTTGGTTCGATGGGATTGCCATTGGTGATACGGCAGACATCCCACCTGAAATCAATTTCTTGCCAAACACGATCCAGCATATCCGGTGTCACTTCTGCAACTGCGTCGGTGATTCGAGCTTTGAGATTGGCAGGTAAGGGTGGAACAAACACACGATCTTTAATGAAACCCCATAAGAAAAAATCGAGAGGTGTCAAATCTGGAGAACGAGGTGGTCATGCTATATCGGCCCTGTTCGACCAATCCACCAACCTTGGAAACGGTTATTGAGGAAATCCCGGACCTCTGTGAGGTAGTGAGGTGGTGTGCCGTCTTTCTGGAAGTGAATGCGTCCTTCTAGGTCATCTTCTTCTAACTGTGGTATAAGAAAATTTTCGAGCATATCCAGATACACGATATCGTTGATGGTTCTCTCATGGAAAAAGAACGGGCCGTACACTTTAACTTTGCTAAGGGCACAAAACACATTCACCTTTGGGCTGTCACGAACATGTTCCAGAGATGTACGTGGATTTCCGCTGCCCCAAATCCTGCAGTTGCAGATGTTCACCTTACCACTGACATGAAATGTCGATTCATCACTAAAGATTATGTAGTCCAGTAATGTTTCGTCTTCTCCTATCCGATGCACAGAATTCCAGACGAGCCACTTTATCTTCGTCAGTAATTTCTTGGACAATGGCAAATCTGAATGGTTTTAAGTGCAAACGTTTTCGTAACACGCGCCAAACGGTCGGTTGTGAAATGCCAGTCTCACGAGACGCACGTCGCGTTGATTTCGCAGGACTACGGACAAAGCTCTCCCTCACTAGTTCCACGACTGCATCAGAAACACGCGGGCGACCTGGAGATTTGTCATGGCGAACAGAACAACCAGTCTCAACAAAATTCTTGTGCCAAGAGTAAATTGTAGGTCTACTGGGAGGATCCTTGTCATACTGCGTGCGAAAATTCTGTTGAACCATTGTCGAAGATTTCGTTTCTTCAAACCAAAGCACACAGCGAGCGCGCTCCGCACCTGTGAAAGTAGCCATTTTGAAATGCACTGCCGCTTGCGCTCGCGGTGACAGAATTCGGTACTACAGCACAACGTGAGTCAAACTTGGTCTGTTTTACTACAAAATGACACCTCAACCGATTCTGTAAGCTTCCTGGTTAAATTTCTATACATTTTCAAATTTGTAAAGTTCCTTTAGAATCACCCTGTACAGTAGATTCCAAATAAGGCATTTACTTAAGAGTGCCAGTGTCTCGGTCAGT